CATTCTTCACAGAGCTAGAACAAATAATCCTAAAATTTGTATGGAACCAGAGAAGACCCCAAAGAGCAAAAGCAATCCTGGAAAAGAACCTGTAGGGGATAGGCTTAAGGAATCCTCCGGGCTTATACCAATGGGCTAACAAGGCATAAACAAATACAAAGTCATAAGATGCTCACACCCAAGTTTGGATAAACCAGATAGGCAACCCAAGAATGGGGGGTAAAAAGTCACCCCAAGAACTTGGGGAGAGGTTCAAAGTCTCCAAAACTAGGGAGGTGCAGTGGAACCCCAAAACAGAGAGGGGATGCAGAGCTCCCAGAATAGAGAGAGGGACAAAGGCCCCAAATAGCAACGGGTGCAAAGGTGCCCGATACATAGGTATATGCAATAAACAGGATTAGATGTTCAGGGTGTAAGCACCGCCAATTTAGCACTATAGAAGAAAAGCTGCTATTCAGAAGGATAGGGCCAGGTTAGGTAAATTGGTCAATTCCACTATGGACCACTGCTTGGCATGCAAGGCAGCCTAGAGCCGAGATGGTTAACAAAAGAAACGGTGCCTTATTAACCCTCAGGTTATTCCCCCATCTGTCTCATCCACTAGGCTAGCTAAGTTAAACAGACAGGGCGCCTCCTGTCTGTCGTTAAAAACTATCTACCCATCTGCCTGGCATCAGGATTTTGTTGACCCAAACCCCAAACAACAAATATCTTTAAAACCCCCCTCTTGCCTCACGTCCCCAAGTTAATGTCCCCAGTTTATCTCTTTGTACATGTCCATCATGTTTGTAAGCCTTCTGATCTAAATAAATATGGGGCAAGGACCCTTATTCAGGGCTCTTGTCTTTTCCCAAACATTAGCCATCTCTTGCTTTAATTCTGCATTCGCTCCCTTGTTGCCCAAAAGAGAACTTTAGACTTAGAGTCTATGACAGATGGTGACCCCAACGTGACAGAAGGAAAGTGGACTACTGGCTGAAGTGTGCAGGGGGCTGAGATGGCCAGGTGGTGCAACACAAGGACTGCAGGACCCCGTGGAATGGTAAAGGAGCTCCCAGAAAAAAAACCGCACTGGGTACAGTCTCTACCTGATGAGGTAAGGGATAAGCAAAACTATATTAGGATTTGCTGCTGTGGAACTTTTTGAGAGATCTCCGATGGGAAATTACCTCCCCCTGACTCCCTAGCCCCTGAACAAAAGGACTATATTTGAATTCTTCAGTCCTTAGGAGGAACAGCAGGGACTATTCTAAATTACAAGGCTCGCCTTAGATTATTGGCTGTCCAACAAAATTGCCCTTGGTTCCCAGAACAAGGAACTTATGATCTTAAAGTGTGTAAACGAGTAGAGAAAACGTTGAAGACAGGCATTCTAAAGGGGCTAATGTCCCCCCTTAAGTAATCCTCACCTGGTCAACTGTCCGCACTGCCCCTCCCTGTAGAGGTGGGACAGTGCATAGGAAGACACAAAGATATCTAAAAAGGAGGAAAAACCTCGCTCCCCTATATTCAGATTGTGCCTCTGGCTCCTTTACAGCCAGAAGATACTCCCCCTCCCCCAAAAGGGTGGAAAGATATTGAGCCTCTGAAAACCTCACCAACCGGCTCTGATAAAGTCCTCATCCCAATGCAAAAGTATATTAAAGCAGCCCATAAGGCTGGTAAACTGCAGCTCTTTCCCATTGTCAGGCAAAATGGGCAATGGGGCCACGAAGGCCTGCTCTTTCCAATAGTAAAAGAATTGCAAAAATCAGTTCCACTATATGTCCATCCCAGCCCTTTTACAATCAGTATTTTAGAAAATATTCATGGCACTCATTCCATGTGCGCCTGGGACTGGGGCTCTCTTAAGAACATCATTTGGACCCCAGCCCAGTATGCTGTCTGTGCCCAAGAGTTTCATGATGCCTATGTAACTAGTGCTATGTAAAACTTTGCCGCTGCTATTCCAGTGTCTTTTAAACAACTGTCTGACACAGGGCAGTGTTCCCAACCAAGGCAGTGGCCTAACTTCCAATCATTGTCAATAAAACAATGCACTGAAATAGTGTGGTGCAGTGTATTTTATATAGGCTCCCTGATATAGGGGACTGTAACTCTCTCTCTGTTTCTCCCTATACTCTGTGGTCACTGTAACCATATGTGAAGGCTTCTCTCTCATTCATTTCCTGGATTAATAACTGTGATGATTAGAGCCAATTGTCTCTGGCTAGTCTACCTTGGGATAGAGATTTTAAGGAATATTCCCAAGCAGCTGCTGAAACTCCTTTTGTTTCAGGAAACTTCCCTGTCTTCTCTGGCCTGACATGGACTGCTTAATTCCACTAGTGGAAAACAAAAACAAAACAAAACAAATAATATAAAACAAAACAAAAATCGGTATCTGCTCATCTATCTGAGCTGACAGGCTTTAGGACCACATGAACTCTTTTCTCTGCCCTCTGTGCCTCTGTCTGCCTTCAGGCCTCTTGGTAGTTCCTCACCTTTTCTGCCTTCCCTTCCTCCTCCTCCTGTTTCTGTACCTCCCGGGGTGTGCCTGCTTATATGACTCTTCAAAACCTCAGAAGGCACTCCTCCTCCGCAGGCTGTCAAAAGGCAAAAAACCCTCTCTTAGACTTTAAATTTCCTCACTGGTTCCACGGAAAAAATTAACAATGGTAAACTTTTAAGGGGACACAGATAAAATATTATTAAGATAGGCATGTCTTTTAAATTATAAAGCTTTATTCTACTAAAGTTGAGATGAATAAAAATTTAAAAGTACACCAGTATAAGGTTAAAATTCTGCTCTTCTCTCTGTTCGAAAAGCAAAGTTTTCTTGGACTGTCTTGATAAGACTGTCTTGATAAGACAATGTAAACAAAAGGTTTTTTTTCTCTCTTTTGTCTGCCAGAAAACCAAAGCTTAGGCTTCATCTTAGGTTTTTAATTGCCTAGTTAAAACTTCTCACTGTTAAAGGAGCTAAGTTTCGCTAACAACTATATAATACTATACATTCGCATTTAGGATCTTTTATTGCCACGTTGGTTAAATAATAAAGTTTCAAGATTTGTAATGATCTGTAATCCTATTTAGGATGTGCTTTATAATAACTTCCTGAGGTTTTAGCAAGCTTCCTAGGATTTAAGTGGTAAATGAAACATATTTGGTGTTTAAACTAACTTAAGTCTATTGGATCTGTCTTTTTTTTTTTTTTTCAACGTTTATTTATTTTTGGGACAGAGAGAGACAGAGCATGAACGGGGGAGGGGCAGAGAGAGAGGGAGACACAGAATAGGAAACGGGCTCCAGGCTCTGAACCATCAGCCCAGAGCCCGACGCGGGGCTCGAACTCCCGGACCGCGAGGTCGTGACCTGGCTGAAGTCGGACGCTTAACCGACTGCGCCACCCAGGCGCCCCTTGGATCTGTCTTTAACGTTATCAGCATTAAATATAAAACTTTATTTTACTAAGGCTTACTAAAGGTCAAATAAGCTCATGTTCTCGCTGTTCCAATCTTGTGTTAGCAAAAGGATGACTTAAAGTAATAGTTAACTTTGCCTCATAGTTTTCATGGGTAATTGTTAAGATAGCTTTCGAAGTGTTTGGTAACCTAAAACATTAATGTTTTGCTTGCATGATAAATTAAGATAAATTCATTGGTATCTAATGAGATAAAACACTAATCACTAGATGTGGATCTGTGCTTTTGACTTGTTGCAAAAAAAAAAAAAAAAGAATATTTAGAAGTGTTAAATCCATGCTTTATGATTAATGGATTCATAAGTCTACCACCTAAAAAATTTCCTAATGTAACAGACAATTCACAATTGGTCACTACCTAGCTTTCACTGGAGACTAAGGTTTCTAAGAGTTAAAATTCTGTTAAATGTAGTTAAAACTGATAAAAATTTTAAAAAAGCAACTCTGTATGTGGAAAGTAGGAGATATAAAAGAAAGATATAAGAAATGGAAATATATTTTTGTTAAAGGTAAAAGAAAGTAATCTTGTTGTAAATGAGACTGGTTACTTGGAGAAAAATGGCTTGGGACAAAAGCTAAATGCAAAGAAAAGTTGTAAAAGATTCATAAAGAAAAATCTTAAAAAAAAAAAAAAATTGTGTGGCCAGAACAGACTAAGGTTAAAATAAATGGATTTTAAAAGTACACAGGGTTAAGATAAAGATTCCTCCTCCTTTGATCCAAAGGCTGTGAAAATGATGGCAATACTCTAGGTGCCAGCCTCCAAATCCTCCACATTTGTGTTGTTCCTGTTTAGCAGAGAAATGGATGCCTCTGCCATATGAGAGAGAGAGAGAGAGAGAGAGAGATGCCTCTGCCATATATTGGGCTTTTACTAAGATACATGGGAGCCATTTTACCAAACTTAGCCCATTGTATGCCACAAATGGATAGCTACATGGCTAAAACATATTTATATGGGCGTTACTAAAAAAGAGGAAAATAGACCTTGACTTTGGCCGTTTAGCCCCCTCCCTCAATGGCCAATGATCAATATGTAAGTTACTGCTGAGCCAAAATAAAATTAGTACATCCTACAACAACCACAAAAATAATACATTTTTGTTAATGGTAATAAATTAATAAGTAAATAAATAAATATAATTTTAACCAAAACGGTAAAACAACAGGACATCATGCCCTTTTAAGCTGTTTTGCTTAAGGCTTGGTTGGAGTTACCCATTCCTTATAATCCACCAGGCCAAACAATTGTAAAATGAGCATATATTACGCTCAAAAACATGTTAAAAACCAAAAATGGGGAGATAGCCCTGGCTGTCTGCATTACAACCTCAGCTCCTTCTTGATCTTGCTAGGATTACTCTTCACTTTTTAAATCTCAATCCTCAAGGACTAACTGCAGCTGAGTGACATTCTTCAAAATAAGATAAACCCTCTCACCCTATGGGACTATGCAAAACCCCTGAAGGGGGGCCCGCATGGACTGGGTACACTAAACTTCTCATCTGGGGTTGAGGATATGCTTGTGTTCTTTCAGATTCCAGACTTCTGTGGATTCCCTCTTGTTCGGTAAAGTCTTACCACGGCATCATGGAGATCCTTAGGATATCTTCCAGTGAACCAGAACATCCAGAGAATGACTCTGAGTGAGCAGCTACTGGCCCTCTTCTTCAAGATGAAAGAAGCCTCTTCATGGACTCCTCATCCTGAAGCCACTCTACAAATGCAAGTCCTTGCCACTGATGTAACATGGGGAAGCCTTAAAACACCTGTCTAACCAGGCCGGCATCCTCTTACAACACAACAATATTGCATATACCCCTAATTCACATCTGATAGCCATGACTTCTGCCATTAACAAAAATTCAATAGGTGTAAGCCTAATTCTACTCCTTGCCCTCATTTGTCCAGGCCAAGCTCAATATTCATATTGGGCTCATCTCCTTAACCCACCTATATTTGATAGCTTAACACTCCTAGCCTGGGATATTCCTGTTAGCAATAATGTTAAGTTCATGGAAGGAGCCGATCTTAACCCGCCCTTCCAAACTGAACAAGAGCATTGGCTTTATATGCCAAGACCTCAATGGTGGCTTCCTCCAGCACCTCCTATGTATGTTACTAAACTCAGCAACTTATCTGCTTGTCTCTGACTAAAAATCAACTGCCTTTCACATGCACAGCCAGCCCAAAACCTCTACAAAGCCAGACAATTTTACCTTTTTCACAGCCATAAGCTTTGATATACCTTAAAAAATAAGCATATCTCACACTCCTAATGTTGTAACTTGCTCTAGTCTCAAATATTCAGACCACCCCTGGAACATTATTCCCTGGACAACCTATTATGGAGAGTCTGAGCATAATCACTGGGGTAATTGGACTGTTATTGACAGGGGTCCTAGAGGACATCTTGAAACAAAATATTCTAATAAGACCATATCCTTTGGCCAGTCTAGTAGGAAGAATATTTTTTGGAAAAATGGAAGTTTGTTTGGCCCCTATAATTTCTGCACATAAAAGGAAATTAAAAGGACCTTGGATTGTTAATCTTTGGAAGCTAGGGCTTCCCTTCTTCACTTGTACTATTAGCCACGGTGAAATTTATGTAAAACAACATGCTAACCTAACTTGGGCCTCCCTGTACAATAACCAATTCGCATGGACCACTATTTGCATCCATTCTCCCTACATTCTCTTTGCTACCTCCACCTTACAGATCTGACAACTAGGAAATAATTATAATATCTCTATCTCCCAAGATTGGTTTATGTCCTGCATAAATAATGATAACATCACCCAATTAAATGTCTCCTCCTTGTTAGTACTTAGAGCATTGCAGCCTGGGTTCCTGTTAATAGCTCTGAGACCTATACTCATCCATCAGGACTACATGCGCTTTCCAATCTGATTTGACACTGGCACTCTGTTGCAAGGCAAAAAAGATTTTTTGGCCTGTTAATCATGGGCATCCATGCAGCAGAAGGCATTATCACCTTTGCCACTGTAGGTGGAATCAGTCTGCATCATACTATCCAGAGAGCCCACGTCCTTAATAAATTTATGGTCAACACGACCAAAGAATTTGTATTCAGCCAGCCTCAATATTCTTGAGACCATAGCGAAATTTATTGAAAAGCGACAGGAGGCCTTGTTCCTCTACTCTAAACTGCCCTGCGACCCTACCTACCAGCCTATCTGCATGAATGGCATTCCTTATAATCACTCCCAAGCTTGGGATGCTGTCCAGACACACCTTCGCAGTATCTTTTCTTCTCACCTCTCTGACAATATAGATTTATATATGACTTTGTACCAACAGCTACAACATACAGAGCATCAGCTTAAAAACGAATGGGCTGATTCCTGGGAAATGTGGAGCGACCTAAATCCTTTCTCACTTACAGCTAGCACCCATCTCAAATTCTGCATAACTTTGGGAAGAGAAATGTTTTTACTGTGTCTCTTTTTATGTCTTTGCAGAATCACCCTCCAAGCCATCCAAAAGCAAAAAAAGGACCAGGAGCTCGTCATGATGGTCCTTGAACATGAAGCTAAAAGAACCAAGGAAAACAAAAAGGGGTACTGTAGGGGATAAGCTTAGGAATCCCCTGGGCTTACACCAATGGGTTAACAAGGCATAAAGAAATATAAAGCCATAAAATGCTCACACCTGAGTTTGGGTAAACCAGATTGGCAACCCAACAATAGGGAGGCGCAAAGGCGCCAGGACTAGGGAGGTGCAAAGGAACCCAAAAATAGAGAGGGGATGCAGAGCCCCCAGAAATAGAGAGGGAGGGGCAAAGGCCCCAAATAGGAACCGTGCAAAGGTGCCCAAAACATAGGTATATGAAATAAACAAGATTAGATGTTCAGGGTGGAAGCACCCCCAATTTAGTACTATAGAAGAAAAGCTGCTTTCATAGGAGGGTAGGGCCAGGTTAGGTAAATTGGTGAATTGGACTAAGGACCGCTGCGCTGCAGGCAAAGCAGCCCAGAGCGGAGATGGTTAACAAAAGAAAAGGTGCCTTATTAACCCTGAGGTTATTCCCCCTATCTATCTCATCCCCTAGGCTAGCTAAGTTAAACAGACACGTGCCTCCTGTCTGCCATTAACAACCATCTGCCCAGCTCTAGGAGTTTGTTTTATATTGACCCAAACCCCAAACGCCGTATATCTTCAAAAACTCCCTTTTCCCTCACGTCCCCAAGTTAATGTCCCCAGTCTTTGTCTCTTTGTACATGCCCATCACATTTGTAAGCCTTCTGATCTAAATAAATACGGGGCAAGGACTCTTATTAGGGGCTCTTGTCTTTTCCCAGACATTAGCCATGTCTTACTTTAATTCTGCATCCACTCTTTTACTGGCCAAAAGGGAACTTTATACTTTAAAGTCTACAACAAAAACCAAAGCTGGAGGCATCACAATCCCGGACTATAAGATGTACTACAAAGCTGTTATCACCAAGGCAGTATGGCACGGGCACAAAAACAGACACTCAGATCAATGCAACAGAATAGAGAACCCAGAAATAGACCCACAAATGTATGGTCAACTAATCTTTGACAAAGCAGGAAAGAATATCCAGTGGAATAAAGACAGTCTCTTCATCAAATGGTGTTGGGAAAACTGGACAGCAACATGCAGAAAAATGAACCTGGACCAGTTTCTTACACCACACACACACACACACACACACACACACACACACACACACCTCAAAATGGACGAAAGACCTAAACATAAGACAGGAAGCCATCAAAGTCCTTGAGGAGAAAATAGACAAAACCTCTTTGGCTGATCTTACTTAACATGTCTCCAGGGGCAAGGGAAACAAAAGCAAAAATGAACTATTGGGATCTCATCAAGATAAAAAGCTTCTGCACAGTGAAGGAAACACTCAGCAAAACTAAAAGGCAACTGACAGAATGAGAGAAGATATTTGCAAATGACATATGAGATAAAGGGTTGGTATCAAAAATCTATAAAGAACTTATCAAAATCAATATTGGGGCCCCTGGGTGGCTCAGTCGGTTAAGCGTCTGACTTCAGCTCAGGTCATGCTCACAGTCTGTGAGTTCGAGCCCCATGTCGGGCTCTGTGCGGACAGCTCAGAGCCTGGAGCCTGCTTCAGATTCTGTGTTTCCCTCTCTCTCTGCCCCTCCCCTGCTCGTGCTCTGTCTCTGTCTCAAAAATAAATAAAAACATTAAAAAAAATCAATATCAAAACAAATAATCCAGTGAAGAAATGGGCAAAAGACATGAATAGACACTTCTCCAAAGAAGATATCCAGATGGCCAACCGACACATGAAAACATGCTCAACATCACTCATCATCCAGGAAATACAAATCAAAACCACAGTGAGATACCACCTGACACCTGTCAGAATGGCTAAAATGTTACAACTCAGGCAACAACAGATGTTGGTGAAGATATGGAGAAAAAGGAACATTTTTGCATGGCTGGTGGGAATGCAAACTGGTGCAGCCACTCTGGAAAACAATGTGGAGGTTCCTTGAAAAAATTGCACTACTAGGTATTTATCCAAAGGAAACAAGTTTGCTGTTTTGAGGGAGCACATGCATCCCAATGTTTACAGCAGCTCTGTCAACAATAGCCAAAATATGAAAAGGATTCAAATGTCCATCGACAGATGAATGGATAAAGAAGATGTGGGGTGTGTGTGTGTGTGTGTGTGTGTGTATGTATATATACATATGTATATGTATATGTGTATGTATATGTATATGTATATGTATATGTATATGTATATGTATATGT